AAAAAAAAAAAATCAGTTCTTATTCGGTTCTTGGTCTAGAATCGAGAGCCGAATCAAACCATTCGATTCTCAATTCGGATATCTGTTCGGGTATTTCATTTAAAAAAATTCGCTCGATTCGATTCGGTTTGAACTTTGAACATTTTGTCCAGCCCTAGAAGGAACTCTTAAAATAAATAATAAGATAATTAGTTATCTTTATGCAACAATATACTCGATATTAAACATACACATTTGTACTTGATTAAGACTCCATTTTCCTATACTCGAGTGACATTTACACCTAATATCGTCGATGTTGAGTATACTTGACCATATTCATGAATTCATAGATGAGAAGTAGGAATCCAAGCTCTCACGTTAGTAGCCATAGCCCCAACGTACACCTACCAAAATGTCCTAGTTTTTTAACAAGTTTGGACCAGTGCATCTCAAACTACTTTTTCATACCGTCCTTCTGACTATACTCACGTCATAAATATATTATAAAATATTTATATTTGTAGGGTGTTTGGTGAGGATTAAAATTAGATTTTTAGTGGATTGTGATAGAAGTTTTTGAAATGTGTGGTTGAAAAGATGTGAGACTCATGAAAGATATGATTAATATTGATTGTTTGATTTTGATTTAGATTAAAATCAGATTTTAATCCGTCCAAATGGGTCCTAAAATTTTGATTTTTAGTTAAACTAAACCGTTGCTAAAATTGAAAATTTTAGAAAATATTATTACCAACATTTAGAAATAGTTTTCCCATGCCATCTTGATTTTGATCGAGTCTTAATAAAAAATCTGTATATTCGACAAGTTTTATATTTTTTTATTACAAGAAAGAAACAAGTCAAAATTTATTTTTTATAGAAAAAAACTCCAAAGAATTGTTTCATTAATCCCTATTTGACAACCATTATTTCAAATGACCATTCTTGTTGTACAGGCCATCATTAATCCTATTTCAAAACTCTTTTGTTTAATATTCATTTTCAATCAAATATTTATTAAATAAAATATTCAGCACGTAAATTCAAATTTTTTTTTTACTTTTTAACCATACAACTCCAAAAAATCACTGTTTAAAACTCTATTTTACCCAAATAGTGATTGTCACATAGGGGCTGGATCTCAAAGTCGACAGAATTTTCGACAGTGGTCAAAACTCGCTGGTCAACTATTGAAAATCAAGCATTTGTGCTGCCATCATATAAACTTCTTGAGAACGATTCTCACATCTTCTACTATTATGACAGCTAACAATAAGTTTTCTACAAGATACATTGTGAATGAACAGAGCCCTCGATGGCTCGATTCCCTTTGAAGTGCAATTTTCAGATCTGGTCAGAGTCTATAGAAAGAGGCTTAGGCATCCCAAAAGGTAATATTACGCACATGTGAAGGTCACGACTATCTCTACTAATGTTGTGTTTGCTACACAACTTTTTCCTTAGAAAATGGAAAAAACTCTTCTATTTCCATGCAAAAGAGGCGTTTGATGGGAGAAATTTGGCAAAGAAAAAATTTTCCAACCCCACCCCACGCGCCCTCTTTCCTTGTTTTTAGGGAAAAGTTTTCTCACCATCTAGGTGGCTGTTGTCATTTTTTTTTTTGCAATGAAAACAAATTTTATAATTAGTTATAATTTTTTTTTTCACTTTAATAGACAATTTTCATGTAAAATAAAGTCAAACGAATACTAAATTTTGATGAAAAAATGATTTATTTAGAAAAAAAATTTCGTTTTTTTTTTTACTTTTTGGTAATGGAAACAAATTTTATAACCAATTATGGAAAAAAAATATCACTTTAATGAACAATTTACATGTAAAACTAAGCCAAACGAACACAAAACTTAAAAATTTTCCACCCAGAAAATTATATCAAACAAACACACTTAATTAACAATTCGCTGCAAAATAATTTCTAGGTATTACTTTCCCTAGAATTTATTTTCTTTCCACAATTACAATTAAACGGACAAGAGTGTTTTAACCATCACATACTCAGATGTATATATGTATATTCACGTGTAGAATTGATCTCCCTTCCACGGTGAGTTGACAAGGCGATGCCACATCTGCAAGTCAACCGTTGAGTTGTTAAAAATTAAAGGCTTGATTGCTAACGTGGTGTGGCGTGTATAAGGTATCTCTTACCCACAATGTAATGCCAAATAAATTGGAAGAAATGTTCTTCTTCGTCATCCTACTGAGTACTAAAGCAAGTATCACCAAAGTATATGCTTCAAATTTCTTCTTCGTCATCCTACTGAGTACTAAAGCAATTATCACCAAAGTATATGCTTCAAATGGACATATCTAGCGAGCTGTATTGCCAGGCTCCATCCCATCTTCATCATCCTGGTCAGGCAGCTCATTGAGGTTGAACTCCAAAACTTTAGGGTCTTCTTTCTCTGTCTGTAGAGGTAACTTGGTGGGATGGAACATGATCAGCATGATTCTGAAATCCAGAAGCCTGATCAGGAGGGAAATTTTTGTTGCAAATCATACAATCATAAGTATTATAAACTGCTTTTAAGCTAAAAGCTGGTTTTTTACTTAACAGTGTTCACTTCCAATTGTTTGATGGCATTGGCTTTTGGCCCATCCTTGGCAGAAGAAGCTCCATTTGAAGACGTATCATCAATGGTATTGCAGACCTTCATCTTCTTCTTTTTCTTCTTCTTCTCCTCCTTCTCCCTCTCCTCTTCCTTCTTGAAATTTTTCTTTGTGTGGCCGCTTGATCTGTGCCCACCCAGTGCATGGAAAGTTGGAAAACTCTTCCCACAAGTGCTGCAAATGTATTTAGCAGGCATCGCGGCCGGTGGGACAGATTCAGCTTCCGGTCCAACAGGGTTGAAATCCAGTGGTAATTCTGGATTCACTGATATCTTCTTGATCATCATAGAGCCATCAGTACCAAATTCATAAGGATTATCACCCGGATTTTTAAAGCCATTTGTTGAATTTTCAGTATGAAATCCAGGATTCAGTTTTCCCTTTCCATTTCCACTGTAAAGGTTTCTCCTGAATTGTTCACTACCAGAATTTCCATCCGCTCTTTCAAAGATTTTCAGATTTTTAACTGGGGAATTCCTTTCATCAGTAAGGGAAAACACCTCCTTTTCGTTTTTATTCAATCGAAAGTCTTGATTAACATCATCGATTTGCCCATCCTTAACTTTAGACTCCAGATCTTCACTAGGTTTCTTGGAATCTCCATTGATAAGCCTTAGAAATTCCTCTGAACTTGGAAAAGGCGACAACCCAATGACGGGCTTGATTGGTGCGCGGCTGCCCTTAAATTTGCTGCGAGTGGCTTCACCTTCCTTAACCTTGGAATCCAGATCTTCATTAGGTTTCATAGAATCTCCATTGGCAAGGCTTACGAGCTGTAGAGCAGCTTGAATTTCATCTGAAATCGGAAGAGACGCAGAATCAATGACTGGCTTAGTTTCCGCCCGGCCGCGCTTACCTGTCACCTGCCACTTCATAGATTCATTAAAACCCACCATCACCATATGCCCAGAATCAATCCGATCACCATCAAGAACATGTGAAGGAACCCTATTCATGGCCTCAAATTCCCTCTTGGATTTCAACTTCTTGGTAAAGAAATCTCTGTTGGACTGAGCATGAGCACTGTTCATGTGGTCTCCCAATGCCTTGCCGGAGCTGAATATCCTTTTGCACTCCACACAGTAATGATCCTTCACTTTTCGGCCATCCTCCTCCTCCTCCTTCACCCGCCGTGACGGCGCCACCGTTTGAGCTCCGTCTGAATCTTGGTCATCTTCCATCATTGAATCCGGCTGATTTTCTTGATCCTTCTCAATTCTCAAGAAAAAAAAAAAAGAAAAGAGAAGAAAAGATTACTCAAATAAATCTGATTAAATCTTGAAACAGATTTTGTACAGAGCGGATTAGTTTTACAAACACAAAAAAACCCCGAAGAAAGAATGCAGAAGGGCACTGAGAAAATACAAGAATTTCGTTTTTTTAGGCGTAATGCATGATGAAAATTGTTGAAGAGGAAGAGCAATTGCATGGTTCTTAGGGGGAAAAAAAAAACGAAATTCTTTTTCATAAAGTCGAAACTTATAGAAACTAAACATTAAGTTTTTTATTTTAATTTGAAAATAAGAGGGGTAAATAAGCCCTTACTTCCTCGTAACATAGTTTTTGTATGGAAACAATCATCGACAAGATATTTTAATTAATAAAAAATTGAGGATAAGAACGTGATAAAAATAGTTGGATATATAATTATGATAATAAGTAATTAAATGTTACGGACCTTTGATGCAATTAAAATGATGTGTAAACTTTAAAACATTTCATCATCCCTAAATTCCTAAAATTATTTTGCTAAAACAATGTTGATGCCTCATGAACGATTACAATATCGACCTAACGCAACATTAATGCCATGTAAGATTTTTGTTCAAAGTCGGACGATTGAGTAACACGTTGGTATAACTAAAATGAGCTTTAAAGTTTGGTGAGATAAATGAAATGGTCAAAAGTTCAATGAATATAATAAATGATGCTCCTATGTAGTTCAGATAAAAATTAGATTTTAGTAAATTTTAATAAAAGTTGATAAAATATATAATTGAAAAGTTGTAAGTTGCACGAAATATATGATTATAATTAATTGCTGACTTTAACTTAGATTTTAATTCATTTTTAAAGCTAAACCAAACATGAGCTAAGTGTAAAGTTTGGCGACTATACATATTTAATCCTTAGAAATGCTATAGTAATGTCATTATTGATTTTTTTTTATTATTACTTTTAATATGAACATCAAATTGTCATTAATTATTAATATCCAATATGAGTATATAGTTGATTCTTCGTAATATTTATGTCAAACACAAGTATATAAATTAAATAATAATGTTATCTAACATTAATGGTGCTTCATACCTGTCTAGGTGACTGTAAGAACCCATTTTTAATTCTTCAGTAAAGTTGTCATGTATGTTTATTCATTGAACATTTGAAGGTGGATCCTTCGTTGTTACCTAAACTAATGCTGGATAATGTTTCTAAATGAAAAGGTATACTCCCATGTAAAGTGATATTAGAGTAACAATGAAAATTACTAGTGATAAATGACATTGTAAAATAAATATTTCACCTAGGTTCTTACATTAAACTACAATAGAGATGTAAACTTGAGATAGTCCATTTAAAAACTGCATTAATTCAAATACTCAATTAAAAAATAAGTGTCTTTTTCAAGAAAGAGACTGGTAAAAACCATAATAAGCCTATGTTTCACCATCATTAAAACGAATTCTTTTTTAAACTTATTTTCAATCACACATTTTCACAATAAAATATTTCGCATGTAAATAAAAAAAAAATTCTTATTTTCTAACCACACATTTTTCAAAAAATAAAAATAAAAAAATCACTGTTACAAAACTCATTTTTCAAAAAAAAAAAAAAATAAATAAAAATAAAAATGGATTAAGCCATTTGTACATTCTTTTGTTGACATGAAGTTTGACATGCTTTGGAAATTCAAAGTGTTGTTGGCGAAAAAGTGTGTAATGTTTAAAAACTGGCTAATCATGATGCGACATGTGGCACAATGTCAAACTTAGTGTAAAAAAAAAATGTACAAGTAGCATGATCCAAAATTTAAAATTATTTATAAATGATTAAACGTCATTTTCAACGATACATTTCAATTAACCCTACAAGTATTATCCAATTATTTACTATTCATTTCTATTTATATAATAATTTCTTTCCAAAGGAAGCTCAGCATTAATGTTAGGTTTAGTTATTTCTCAAACTAACTGTCCGTGTTTAATTTTATCGACATATATACAAGACAATATGATGAGCTATATCAGGTATGAATCATTAGTTTATATTGGACTCTCGTGTTCTATAATTCTTTTAAATTAGGTCCAATCTATTAGAGTTTTGAAAAATAGTAAAACGAAAGTGTCAAAAGCTAGCTAGCAAGGAGACTACAAGGGCATTACTTGCTTAAAATTTCTCAGTCATTTTTAGAGTTCTCATCACCATGGTTCAATGAAATTCAAGAATGTCTAAATGTCTTGTGTTTTTATATTATAACAGCTATCAACTAGTTTCAACAAGACACATTGTGATTGAGAATGCAAAGGTAACAAATATGCACGCGTCAATTTACCGGATCAGATTCCAAGTCTATAGAAAGAGGCGTAGGCAGGGGCGGACGCAAACATTTTGAGTTAGGGGGCATAATTAAACTCCGTACAAATCGAATAATTTGTTCTTAATTTTTGAATGATTCATACATGATTCGAGACAATGCAGGTTTACATTTAAAAAATATTTCTTCATTAATATTTTGCTAATAGTTTTCATCCATTTGATTTCGAAGAGCTATTTTATTAATGTTTTGTTTATCTCAAGAAAATGTATATTTACGTTTAAAAATCTTATAATGTATTTAATACAAACAATCAATTTAAGTAATCGTAAGGAAAACATATAACTAATATTCAATACTAATAATCAATCAAATAAACACAATTCTATATACAGAGTTTGATAGGAGAAAATGCAAATTTAGGTTCTAAAATTTGATTGAAAAGTGAAGATTTGTAGTAAATGTGATAATTTGTAGAGGAATTATATACAAATTTTAAAAAATTAGAAGAGTTAAGATTTTGTTAAAAAGCGAGAGAAAAAAAGTAAGAGAGAGCAAGAGAAAAAAGAAAAATTCAAATTTATTGTGATTTTGTTTCTGTTTGGTGGAGATTAAAATAAAATTTTTATTAAATTTTGTTAAAAGTTAAAACAATTTTGAATTCCATGAAATATGCTATTGAAATTAATTGTTAACTTTGATTTAGATTTCAATCGATATTAAACATGACTTTATTAAAAAAAATTCTCAAAAGTTGCGGGGTCACGTGACCACCCCACACCCGGGTCCGCCCTTGGGCGTAGGCATCCCAAGAGATAAACCACAAGTTCAATATTTTTGAATGAGAGTGAGGGCCTTTTGGTCCTCTTCTTGGTGGCGGCATCTACATCGTCTTCTTCAATTCCATTCTCCACAGGTTTCCATGCTTCATAGGCTCCAAGCAAAGCTTTCATTTGAATGCACCAATTACCATAATTTTCTTTGGTAAGTGATGGAACTTGGAATGGTGCTATATTCGACATCTTTTTTTTTTATTATCTCCAAATAGAAGTGGCTCTCATACCATTTTGTTAGAAATTGGAGAGCATATATTTAGAAACTCACACACCCAAGTGAAAAGTGAAGGAACCTTATAAGAATTCTTATTATCACTTGAACTCCACAATTGTCGAATGGCTACTATACATAGGGTAATAATAGGTGCTAAACTGAAATTCCATACATTCACCTATCTAAGTTCATGCATAAAATCAAAAGACACATTCATGTATTGCCCCATATTCATGAATAGAAACTTCTAGGATTTTCATGAATTTAGTTTATTTTTCCAACATACAGAATAGATTTTTATTCAACCAAAGCAAACTAACCTAAAGAAAGAATAGAGAAGGGCAGTGAGAAAATACGAGAATTAATTAAGGAAAGTGGTTGAATTTCGAAGGGTTTAAAATTTTAAGATTCAGAAGGAGAGCTGGTGTCTTAGCTTGCAAGGAAATTGAACGAAAAGGAAACAATAAATCAAGAAAAAACGAATATTCTCAGACCCAGGCACGAAAAATTCGGATTTTGATAAACCCTGGAGAAGATAGACCTTATCATCTATCTAAAATCTTCTCTCTCTATCTCGATATATCAATTGTACGTATTGGCGTAATGTATGATGAAAATTGTTGCAGGGGAAGAGCTGTTGCATGGTTCCTACCAATCTCTTCTTTAACAAATAGTTATTACTAATCACACACGAATAATTTCTTGATTTTTATTATCTTTTTAGGGCTGAATTCTAAAAGAATGTTTTGGAGATAACTGGAATAAGTAGTAATTTAATTGATTATAAGCAGTTTATAAACATCAGCCAAACAAGGGCTTATTTGGGATTCCTTCATTAATAATAATAATAATAATTTGGGTCGATCGATAGATGATAGTTTTAACTTGCTATTAACGTTATCGAATATGGCTAAATGTGACTAGAGAAAAATTGATGTGTTTAGCATTATAAATACTTGGTCTAGCCTGCAATATAGATTCTTGAAAATGTGATGAAATCCTTTTTCTAGTATTTTTATTTCTTGAATTTTGATATTTGTTAATCAGGTTATCATTTTAATTTGTTAAGAGACCTTGGGATGCAATTTTTATTAGGTCTGACAATGAAAAAAAAAAAAAAACCTTGGAACCGCAAGCATCACCTTTGGTTGGCTTTTAATTCGATTTATTTGAAAAAAATAATACACTTTTTTTTATTGAATTCTTATCATTAAAATTCAATTAGTTAATATATTTTGTCTCTATTGACTACTTTTGTCAAAATATCTTTAGTGTACATTGAAATGAGATTGCAAATATTTTGTCGATTTATTGGTTGCTTTTTTGCTTATTTAAAAATATAGTGACAATTTAGTCTTTTTACAGCATATTAACAGATTTTTTACAATTGAACTCCTAATCCTTGTGTGAAAATAGTGGAGGGTGTTTTCATTTTCTCTCGACAGATATTTAAAATTATCCTCTTCGTTTTGTTAATATAGGTAGAGAGATAGGTAACATTAATTCAATTATAATACAAAACAATTGTATTTATGTTGCCTATGCTTGGCCGCCTTTTTTCAAAACTCATTTTCAATCACACATTCTCCCATAAAAAATTTTACACTATGCATTCTCTAGAAAATCATCATTCCAAAACACATTTTTTTTAGAAAGGCTCAAACAAGAGCATCATAACGTGTTCCTATGTGATTATGCGGAATGTAATTTTGATGCAATATACGTGAAATACTATATTAATATATGCATATGACTGGAATATTCGAGATATGATTTGACTATACAATAGTTATACAAGTACAAACGTTGGAATAGTGTCATATGTCTTTAGGACTCATATGATGTACATATATATTGTGGCATTCATATGCACATGCATACATATGCTTGGATATGAGAGAAATATCCATAGACAACTCATAATATGAGCGATAATAAAAGTAAGAGGGAGATGATGGTCAATATAGCATTTGGAATAAAAAGATAGCATTGAAATAATGGGATTGCCCTATGGATGCACCATACTAGCGTCCTAATAGATATATCAATTGAGGCGTGCTGCACCAATATAAGGGCGGTGCTATAGATGTCGTTTGGTGGCGTTTGGAACTACAAATCAATACGATAAGCATCGTATACATAGGCTTGAATTGAATTTATTGTAAACCCCCCTATAGAACCCTGTCTTATTGGCAATGACAAATATAATTGTGATCTCCTAAGTTTAGAAGGGTGACAATGGACCTATAGGCATGGGAATGCCTGCATGTTTTCGACATTTTAAGTCATACTTACACGTAGTAAGACTGAAAAAATAAAAAGGTATATAAGCTGTAATTGTGAGAGAAGGTGTGAACTTTGAGAATGAGATCATATTGGAAAAAGAAATTGAAAACAGTGCACACGATTATGTATATGGTTATGCATATCGTTACTCGTTGAGCATTCGTTCATATAATTTTGTGTTGTAGGTTTGTCAATTCATTTTCTGTACTGGAGATTGGTATCAATTCTCATATGATAGGATGATTATGTACTAAGAAAAATGCTAGTTGTACGGTCTTCTTGTACAGTCAATTACAGCCCACCCCATGTGAGGGGGCTGTGTAATTGACAGTAAAAAAAGACTGTAAATATAGCCTAATTCATGTACTAAATACCTGACACTGACTCAACTTGTCTATGGATAAAACATAGAAAAGTTTACAACTGATTTCTAAAGGTACCAATTTTTTGCAGATAGCCATCTATAGTTTATAATATTACCGAATATCTTCCATTCCATATTCAAGTAAACACCTAAGGATACATTGTTCTAAAAATATACTTTTTTAAAATAGAGATAAACTAAATATTATTGACAATATTTTTTTAAATGTATCTCTTTTATAGATAAAAATTTCAAACTCAAGACACACTTCGAGCCAAGCAGAAGCCCTAGTAGGTGGTCGCTACCTATGCCAAATGATCTTTCTCAACTAACTACTACTTTTAATATTGACTAAACGCTAGATAGATACTTAAGTATAGTTTCGCTACCAGAGAAGGCTGTTCATGCTAGGCGTCCAAACATACTATGCTCGAGCCGCATCCCTGACACTTTATGTGCAACCATACAATATTATTAAATAATTTGAAAATCATTTTCAGAATGACATCACCAATATTTGATATAACATTATTTTATTGTTAGAAAATTTGTAATAAATGAGAAGAAAATTAGACAAAATTTTGGGACGTCATGATAAGCATGTTATCAAATTTTCAAACTCAATTTGTTGTAATTTATAAGTGAAGTGCAAATCTAGATGTAATGTTTATAATTTACTAAATGAGACGCGTAACGTTATTGCATTTAAAAGCAATAATGACTCATTTCTACAGACTTTTGTGATGAGTCGGATCACGTATGAATCATTAACTTTTGTTGAACACTCGCATTCTTTGATTCTTAAAAGTTGAGTTCAATCTAATTTACAAAACGCGTTAGCACGAAGAGCATAACTAGTGCCAAAAAGAATGCAGGACTACAAGATGCTTGCAATTTCTCATCTTAATTCTTGAGGTTCTCCACAATCCTTCTAAGGAAGTCAAAAAATTGTCTCCATTTCTTCAATTCAAGTACAAGAAAATGCCATTGTTATTTTGACTAAATCTTGAATAACTAATTCGTAATTATGACGTTAATTCGATAAGTTCTTTGACTTGTTCTCTATTACTAGAAAGAAATAAATCAAAATTATATTTATTAAAAAAATTTGAAGAAAATGTCCTTTGCATTTTGCCTACCATCATATACACTTCTTGAAAATGATCTTGAATCTTATATCTCCTACTATTGTAACAGCTATCAATCTGAACAAGATACATTGTGAGCGAACAAACAATCCCCTCTGTAGTGAATTTATCGAATCAATTCCCGGGACTATAGAAAGAGGTGTAGGCAGCCCAAAAATTAACAGGCTTACGCGCAAAGGTCACAAGTATGTCTACTAAGTGTTTTGGTCATCTGATAGACCTATATACATATATATATATACACACACACACATTCACACGTAATGCAAAACAATTTGTAAGGAGTAAAGCAAGTAGCATCAAGCATGCTTCTTCGACTAAATTGCCAAATATGATAGCAAAAAAATGACTGAAAAAATGTTCCATTCACATAAATGAGTTAAACAAACAATCATACCAAAAACTGTAGAAAACAAATAGACTGTGACAGCCAAAAGTATAGACGCTGAACACAGAAATTTAAGGATTTAAAGTTCAATAATGTGATCAAATGGACATCATCTAACTAGCTGTATTATCAGGCTTCATCCCATCTTCACCATCCTGGTTCATTGAGGTCGAACTCATGAACTCTTTTCTCTTTTTTGGCTTTGTCTGCGGATGTAACATGATAAGCATGATTGCACTCACCAGTGCAATGGCATTGATTCTGAACTCCAAGAGCCTGACAAGAATGGACATTACTGTTACAAATCATACAATCTTAATAAACTGCTTTTAAGCTTAAAGCTGCATTTTTACTTACCTTGTTTACTTCCAATTGTTTGATCGCATTTGCTTTTGGTACATTTTTAACATAAGAAGCTCCATTTGAAGACTTATCATCAATGGTGTTGTAAACCTTCACCTTGAACTTTTTGTGGCTTGATCTGCGCCCACCTAGTGCTTGGGGTTTTAGAAAACTCTTGCGACAAGTGATGCAAATGTATTTATCAGGTGTCACTGCCGGAGGGGCAGATTCGGCTGCCAGTCCAATATGGCTGAAATTTGGTGCCGATTCTAGTTCCATTGATATCTTCTCTTTTGTATTCTTTATTTTAGTCATCATACAGCTTCTAGGATGATATTTATAAGGATAGTCAAACTCGTCTGATGAAGAATCCGAACTTGTAGAATTTTCAGTATCGTATCCAGGAATCAATTTTCCCTTTCCTTTAAAATTGCAGAGGGTTCTCCTGGATTGTGCACCACCAGGGTTTTCATCAGTTCGTTCCCAAATTTTCAGCTTTTTAACAGGAGAATACCTTTCATCTCCGGCGGGAAACACCTTCTCTCTGTTCTTATCCAATTGAAAATCCTGATTAGCATCATCAGTTACATCCTCAGGAGTCCAAAAATTGCTGCTAGTGGCTTCACCTTCGTTAACCTTGGAATCAAGATCTTCACTAGGTTTAGAATCTCCGTTGACAAGTCTTATCAGCTGTTGAACAGCTAGAATTTCCTTTGAACTCTGAAGAGGCGGCGAATCAATGACTGGCTTAGTTGGAGACCAGCCACGCTTGCCTGTCACCTGCCACTTCACAGATTCATTCAAACCCAGCACCGCAGAAACCACCACAAGACCTGAATCAACCTGATCACCATCAAGAACATGTGAAGGTACCTCATTCACAGCCTCAAATTCTGGCTCGGAAAGATTTCTAACCGCTTCAGCTGGTGGCTCCATCCCCCTCCACTCCCTGTCCGGATGGCTCCTCATGTGCCCAAATAAGGACTTCTTTGTTGTAAATTCCTTCTCACAGATCTTACAAATATTTTTTCCACCATACCCAGAAGGAGAACCCGAGCACACAAGTTTCTTCGGCCGCCTCTTTGTCTTTGATTTCATCTTCTTGAGGGAGAAATCTTTGTTTGCCTGAACATGAGCACTGCTCATGTGACCTCCCAATGCCTTGCCGGAGCTAAATCTCTTTTTGCACTCCAAACAGAAATGATTCTTCACTTTTGGGCCATCCTCCTCCACGCTTTTTTTCATGTTTGGAAACTTAATCTTCACCCGCAGTGGTTTGTTGGTGGAAACATCCGGCGGCGCCACCGTCTCAGCTCCATCTGAATCTTGGTCGTCTTCCATGATTGAATCCGGCTGATTTTCTTGCTCTTTCTCCATTCTCAATAAAGAGAAAGCATAAAAGATTAACAAAACCAACTCTTCAAATAAATCTGGAAATAGATTTTATACAGAACAATTAATTCCACCAACACAAACAAACCCTAAAGAAAGAATACAGAAGGGCAGTGAGAAAATACAAGAATTAATTAAGGAAAGTGGTTGAAATTCAAAGGGTTTAAACTTTTAAAATTCAAAAAGTTGGTGTCTTATCTCACAAGGAAACTGAACAAAATGGAAACAGTAGATCAAGAAACAAGGGAAAATTTTCAAGAGAAAAATTGCTCAGACCCATAGCTTGAAAAATTCGGGTAGACTCATCTTTTATGTAAATCTTCTCTATCTATCTCTTTTATATCTAGTGTATGTATAGGCGTAATGTATGATGAAAAACGTTGGAGAGGAAGAGCTGTTGCATGGTTCTTAGCTCTATAGAATTCTTTTATCACCGTCTCTCTGCATTCTTAACTGGCGTTTCTCTTTTTATTTTTCTTTTTGTTCTTTTGTTTGTGGGGTGGGGTAGGGTGGGATTGGGTTGGGTTGGGGTGCTCTTTGAAGTTGTTACCTTATTTAAGTTGGTTTGTTACCTTTGTGTTGTATTGAAGGAAGGATGCTAATTTTTTCAACACTTAATATATAATTGAAATGAATTCTTCTTATTAATTACTGGACTTTGATAGAAGGGGTTAATTTGTGTTTTTGGTCATTTGTGAATCACCCGAATAAATGCAGTAGTTTGTGAAAAGTAATTATCTATAATTATATAAATTAATAAATTAACCATACAAGAGCCCGCTTACGTTTTAATTTGAAATTTAAACAGCCAGCGGTGATTCCCCTAACTATTCTCGTGGCTTGATAATCCAATACAACCGTAACAAGTTGTCATAGTTAAATGATATCAAACTTACTTGACCAATCGAAATAATGACTGTGTCACGAGATGTAGCTCATTACTGAGACCCACCGCTAAAACTGATTATGATATGTTCATATTTTGCATGGTAGATAAAAGAATGATAGTCGAAGAACGCATGTCACTCAAATTGAGTCATTCATATCGAATTTGTTGTATGGTTGTGAAATTCGCAAGCTCTTCAAAGCTATCAAAATTCAACTATAGGTCATAAAAATCCAAAAAAATTCTATTGGCACTCGCTCTCAAGAAACACTATAATCTAATAATACCATGATATGGATCAGTCAAAAACCAGTTAAACTATAAAACATAAGTTTATATACTAGTAGTAAGCACGTGTGTTGCACGTTTCATGTACAGAATGAATGATATGCACAATATTTTTAAAATAAAGTAATTGATAATGTTAAAGAAAAAATTATATATATATGTGTGTGTGTGTGTGTGAGAATAAAAATTTTATGAAATTTCGTACATAATGTGAAAATGTTGAAAAAGTCAATAAATTGAAATGTAATGTTTTGTTTACTTATTTGTTTATATTAGATATTGGTTGGACCCCTATTTTCAACCATTAGAGCGACTACGGCTAGCTTTGTGGTATAGATGGACGCGAAAAAGAATCGGATTAAGAGATGTACATTTGACTAAGTTTAAAATGTTTACTTATAAGTAATCTAAAGATACATAAACGATTTTCAAAATAAAAAAATTACTCATTTTGTTTGTAACATAAACTTTCTTACCTGAAAAAGTTTTTTTTTTTTTAAAGAGGTATCTTATCCAAACAAATTTGAAACAAATTAAAATTACGTAGTAATCGTGCTTGTCATATTAATCCGAAACATTTATTTTAAATTTAAAACCAAAGTTACATTCAAAACAAATATATAAGTGAAAAAAGTTTAGACAAAAGTTTTCTTTTTCTTTTGAATGGAATTAATACAAATGGAAGAATAAAAATTCTCCCTTTAAATTTCTCGAGATAAAAATATTTGTCTTTTCTTTATATATTTATATCCAATAAGTAGCTGGATTACCATCAATTTTTATGCTTATACAAAAATGAACATACAATAATAATAAAATATCCAATACTATATTAATTATATTTTAGAACACATAATTATTTTTCCACTTTCTTCCATACTTTTGTCCTGGTGATACTTTTCCAATATTTCTTGTATAATTTACTCATTAGAATGATAGACTCGTTTTTCTATTGTATTGGATAAATGATGAACCCTATTGCATATTTGTTTTGATTCAAGACTCGTAATTTAGTTGTTTTTTTGATTGATTTTGCATTTCCATTGAATTATTTAATTGTTTGGCCATTAATTAGATTATTAATTGCTATTTGTCGTGTTGAAAGACTGACAATAAGTCTTGTTACGGGCCTGTGTCAGACCCGCCACCTCGCCCGCCACATGTCCATATACGTGGCCCACGCCACGTGTCGGCCGAGGTGATTGAACATGGGCCGAGGTGATTGTACATGGGACGAGCTGATTGTACATGCCGAGGTGATTGCATGAGGAATGAACTGAACACGCGTCAGCGAATGAACCGGACTCATCCACAAGTACTCAGTGGATGCAAAGGCCCGCACTCCGCTTCTACAACGCTGCAACGCTTCACCTGCCACACCTCGCCTCTATAAAGATCTTTTGTACAAATATCTTTCCAAAGTCAAGTTCCCGAGTGATTGATGGGACGTGTGGCAGGCTACAAACGGTCAATTCAGCTGCTATGTCAGATAGCATTCAATGCCAGCCAACCTATGGATGGACAGATTGACGCCTAGGAGAGAACG